AATTTCGTTCTCTACGAGACTACTTGACCGATGAACCGCAGTGTGACACATTTTTACCATAATTCACGAAAAATCGAGCAGACTCCAAAATGGATGTAAAATATTTTTTTTCTTCATCTATTACGTCCTGAATTTTTACATGAAGCTATCATTGAACGTTTTGCAAAAAGATAGACGATTTCATCGAGGATATTTTCGTTTTTTTTCTGTTTGTTTTCAATGCTGCAGTAGGAATATATCGTGTACGTCAGTGTGTTGATTGCTGTGAAATTGAAAAAAAAATTCTTTTTTCAAAGCGACTATATACAATTTTGTAGAGCTTAATATTCTCCATCGTTTGATATATAAGTGTATATTTTATATGAATAATAAATGATTGAAAAATTGCATTTATAATCAATCCGATTCATAAGATTCACTTCATATAATCCATTTAAAAAAAAAACCATGTTTCATTCGAACGTCGATCTACTACTCAATCAATTAAATTTTCTAAAAATCATACCGAAATTTTCAAAATATTCCGTTAGACAATGAAAGAAAAAATAATAATAATATATTATTCGTTAATCTTAGAGGATGTTTATTAACAAAACAAAACGCCTTTATAATATATTATTTATAGGTATTTTAAAACGAAATGTATGTTTTTTATGTGTTTTTATCATTGATCCAGTTTTATAATAAAATCGTAATCCACGTGCAAATTTAGCATAATTCATAATTCCATTTGTTTTTCGATTTTTAACTTTTGACCAAAGTTTAGCTACTCGTTCAGGATCATGAATTTTAAATAAACCTTCATTTTTATTTAGCCATGTTAAATATGAGGAATAATATGGACGTTCTAAAAGAAGATAAAGAAATTCATTTTGTCGTGGAGGTCGTGGTCTTCTAGAAATTGAATCAATTATTAACCATTCTCTAGGATTAAAAGAACATTCGTTAAGATCATCGTTAGATTGCATAATATTATTCAATAATGAATAGTCTTGAATATTAATAATAGATATTGGACATAAACATGATAATGATGTATGATTAGGTATATTATCATTTTTAATATCTTCATTAATATAAATACATGTATTAAAAGAAGTGGCTTTAGTCAATTGATTTTCTTCTGTTTCAACAATCATCATTATAAGAACCAATTGTTTAATTAAATTAATAATTTATAAGTAGACCGATAATTCTATTTAAAAAAAAGAAAAGAAATTCTCACGAGAAAGCTTCTTTACTATTAAAAAAAAATCCTATTTTGCTTTGATTCTTTGTTACATATTTAGGAAGTAGTATTATGCATGACATAAAAACACGTGTTGTTTGGCAATTAAGAATACATGGAGAGAAAAGTATAAATATGCTTATATCAATATATGTTCCTACACAAGAAATTTTTCATAAGTATATTATTGTTCCGTTTTCACCGTCATAAATAGAGGATGACGAGTAATAGATGCATTCACTCGAAATATTTACTTCCGATTTGATTATTTCAAATCAAGTTTTTTTTTTTGTATAGAAATAAATCATTGAAATGATGAAAAAAAATTTTTTTTTCTTCCTAATAATCAAAATTGATTCTCAAATTTGACATTTTCATTAAAATAAAAATCGCAATTAACAACATAATTCACAAAAAAAATTAGACAAACTTTGTAATTTACAAAGTTTTGTCGAAATAATTCAATATGATTGAATAATTAAGACAAAAACAAATAATTTTAATATTTTTTTTGTAAACTTCTTTCAATCTTTTCTTTCATAAAAACTTGATTAATCTTCTATGTTAATGAACTTAAAATATTCTATAGTATTCAAAAATTTTTTATTTTTGATTTCTTACGAATAATTTCATTGACTAATAGTTGAAATATCTTCTTGTGTTATTTATCGGATAACTTCAATTAAATATATCTTATGAAATTGTATACAGTTAGACTAATTCAATTTCAATGTATAGTTCAAATCATATTATCGATAGAATAATTCTATTCTTATAAAATTTATATCAGTTAAATAGATTATCTAATTTATTTACTACTGAAAGGTTAAAATCAATTTAATATTTTCCTATGAAGACAAAATAATCTCTCATATTTTTTTTTCAAAGACATTTCTTTTGTATTTTCGATCATATTCTATGCAATTTTATTAATAAATTATATTGAGAAAATAAATTTCTTTTTAATATACATTTGTACATCATTAGCAAAGTAAAATATGCTTTTTCAATGCATTTATATTAAGATTATTATAACGAGAAAAAAAATTAAAAATTTAGTCAACATTAAATTAATATTTATTCGATCAGATTATTATTAAATGAAATCATAGAAAAATTGTCTTAATTGCCAAAGAGAAAAAGAATTCCTTTCTAACAATATTCATATATCACTTATTGTGTCGTTATAAATATAAGAAATTTCAACAAGATAATCAAGAAAGCATAGGTACATTTCTATTGAAACTTTAATAATATTTTTTAAATTAATGTTATTGTCTGTCAAATATTATTTTCTTTTCTTTGATGTGTTTCGAATGATCAATTCTCATATATGAGACATGTTATTATTGTAAATAGGTTGTTTTTTCTTCCAACATGTACACATTTCGATAGTACCCGAAGAGTGTTAGCTGTGTAGTCCATTAGGTTAGGCAAAACAACATGATGTCAATAAAATTATTCATATGCTTTTTCATTGATTAGTTAATATGTCTAATCTTGTCAATGACTATGAATAAAAGTAGTCATGCAAAAAACACATGCCTTCCTCCATTATGTTTGATCATTACCTTGATAAAGGTACATTGGCATTTTACACCATAAATGTTGATAACATCAGTGTCATATAAGATTTCAGATGAATATTTTGATGCTGCACAAAGAAGAGCAATGCAAGCACATTTGATAAGCATAAGCAATCCTTGCTCAATTGTCACGTCTCAAATACAGTAGTGGACAAAAGTTTCTACTTTCAAGAAACTTTCTAGAAATACTGAAACTTTCTGTAGTAGCCATCTCCTGATTAGAATCACTGTCGGTTTCTTGTCCACGTCGTCTTCAACTGTTAGTTCTGCAATATGATTTTATCTATACACCATCGACATGAAATCATCTTTCTTTCTAACCATCCATTGGGTCTAAAGCTCGGTCACTAGACTGTGACGGAAGTTGTCAGGTGTAACATTGCGACAGTAAAATATTGGCTCAATCGATAGAAGCAGGCAAACGATTTGAATGATTCAACTCGATCTCGTCGGTAATGTGCAACAATCCCAAATCAGAGACAACAAATGATCGTTACTAGTAGGAAAATTACAAACAAACTAAAGCGAAAACGGATCCCAGTCAACAACAGAACAGTGCGATGATACTTGAACGAACCATGAAAGAAATATAGTCGATCCATGCCAAAGTCATTACTTACAGAAAACCATCGAGAGAATCGTTTAAAATGAGTTTAAGAACACATAACCACAAAATGGGAAAAAGTGATATTTTCTGACAAGACCAGCATCCATTTGATTACTATCAAACCATTCCCTTAAATCACGGCAGAAAAAAGGAAGATGGTATGAATCATCAACCATGAGATCAAAGTCAATTTGTGGGATTGCTTCTCCAGTCAAGGCTTCGATCGCATCGTCTGCGGCAGAAGGAACCTCGACACTAAATTGATGTATGACATTTATAAATATGATCTCTTACCAATAGCCAGAAAACAATTTGACCCTGATTCAACTGACTGGAAACTGCAAGAAGACAACAATCCTAAACACGCATCGAAATCTACAGTGGAGTTCAAAGAATTGATTTGCCATTAATTTCATACGATCTTGTGCCCATCGAAAATGTTTGGCGACTCCTCAAGATGAAGTTAAGAAGAATAAAACTCAACACTTATCGATGATTGGTTTCGGCTATAAATAAAGCAGACGTAGAAAGCTTTCCCAACAGAGTTGACCAACAAACTTGTGGATAGTAGGAATAATCGCATTTCTGAAGTTGTTGAAAATCAGGATGATTTTATATAAGCTTTAATGATTAGTGTATATCAAAAGGTTCTACACAATAAAAAAAGTGCCCATCCTCATAAGCACATCTGTTAAAGAGATACTGGGTACGTGCAGACTTTCGTCCACTACTGTACAATCAATATAATGAACAATATTTAAAGCGACAGTATCTCATCATTTCTTTTCCTCTATGAATCATATAAGATTGAATCAGAATATTAAAGTGGTACTGTCTACAATAAAACAGGTATAAAAGTTTCAATATGATCGATATAAAACATTTTCGAATATTTTCTTCGTTTCAATTAGTTCAATTGACGACAGAGAAGAAAGTTCACTAATTTGTTGATCAATATTTATCATTCCATATAATTGTGTGATATTATATTCTTTTGTTAATAGAATTTTATTGAGAAATATATAATAATATTTGATAGCTCTCTGAAGATTAATTTCTACTATATACTGCTCGTTGTATCACTCAATATCCATATGGTATCTCTACAATACTGTGATATTTTTCAATTTAATACTACAATGTGTGAGGATATTGTATGAATATTTTATATCTATACTAATAATGAAACTCTGGTTTTTATTCTAAAATTAAATCACATAGAATATAAAACAGAATTTCTCAATGTTTTATCAAAACATAGTTAAGATCATCTTATTTTCACTTATATCTGTTTACAGCAACAAAAAAGAATTTGAGGAAGAAAAGAAGTAAAAACATTGATGGAATCATGAATGAGTATTAAACTATGAATAGATAGAAAATAAATCAAGATCGTGTCTAGAATATTATCTTTCGAAAACATATTTTGATACAACAATACGGACAGCCATTCATTTCATCTATCAAATAAACAATGTGTTACTCTTTCAAAATATACCCCAAACTTTGAATAAGTTAACATAAATTTCAGAATTTTCTAATGAAATGCTTCGCTCATTAAGTTGAATTAATATTGCCTATCATAGATATTCCAAAGTCTTTGATATTTTCCCATGAGATAAATATTTTGAAAATATTCTCAATCAAATAATTATAATTGAAGTGAAATGAAGTGTAGCTATGGAGAAAGTACTTAGTTTGGGATACCCATGTACTGGAAAAGTCTCAACAAGGTACTTGATGCGAGTACTTTGAAAATTCTCAGTAGTTATATTGATTTAAAAACTTTCTTAGGTATCCATATCAGTGTTATAAAGAGTAAGATTTTTTCTTACCGCTATCAGTACTGCACAGACCAAACCTGATCGGTCGGTACACCGACATGAGTCATTTTTCACTTTTCTCATCTTGTAATAGTCAAATCAACCTCTCGATTAATCATACCTACCTCTAAATCACGACAAAAACTACGTAAGGCTCCTCTTTCACCATTAGAGTGCTTTTGTGAAACATGATTGTCAATGAATATGAAAGTATATGGTGCAAAAATTGATCCCATCTCCTATAGCTTGTTCCAAAGACTATAGCAAATGCGCCAATGTTCTTTTAGTCTACTGACAGACTGCGACAAAGATTTCAATATGTCTGTGACGGCCTAGTAGGTTTTCATACATGCTGGTTTTTGATCCCACCATGGTCTGTCATATAGATGATGAGGTTTTCACTAGAGAGAAAAAGCGAAAATTTTGTACTTCAAGAATACATCAAAGCTATCCTTTATGACTTCTTAGCTATTTCAAGCCTATCATCAACTTGTGTCATGAGCATGTTAATTTGAGTTCATTTCATATAAGCCTGTCTGGCAATAAAGTTTAAATACTTCACAGTACTTTAAGATTTGAGTGCCAGTGAAGTACAATAAAGTATTTTGACTTTGATGTCGGCAAGATTTACATGAAATGAAGCCAAACTAATATGCTTGTGGCACACGTTGATAGTAGACTTGACATAGCTAAGAAGTTCTAGAGGGTAGCTTTGGCATATCCTTGAAGAATGCTAAAGAGTATGAAATTTTCGCTGTTTTACCTTGAGTTTTCCACAATAGTTAAAATAGCTTCCTCGCGTTTAATATTTTAGATTTTTATCAGTAGATTAAATTATATTTAAAGGAAAAACACAGCGATGAAAACTAAAAACAAAGATGACGTCAAAAACACATATGTGGGAATTACGCTTTAATTCTTAAAGATGAGTAATTTCAACTTGCTTTATTCGGTCAAACACTTATTTATAGTGTATTAGGAAGATTTTTTTTGAGAAATGAGAAAACAACATCATTTGAATTGTATGGAAGTTCATTCACTAAATACTGTTAACCTGTTATGCTATTAGATCATGTTCGTACTGATGAGAAAATCAACTACAATAACTGTAGATCTTTTGAAAAAATCATACAGTTACGTACTAGCTTGACATGTATGTTTTTTACTTTTCATCTCTATTTTATCATCACCTTTGATGACTTATTTCTTCGATGTTTTACTTGAATCTCAGTGTTTACTAAAAGTATAATATAACCGTGAAGGTGACAATAGAAGGATTGGAACTGTGGACTCATTCATCTATACTATCTTTTTCTTCTGCTTCAATTTGATAAATATCAGCAATTCTTATAATTCTAAAATGTTTGCGACAGTAGATCATGTACATACAAGTATTCTCTACAAAATAAATATACCATGAACAGGGGTGGCGCGAGTCAATCAACATTGGGGGGTGTAGCGAAATTTTTTTGGACTAGAAAGACGAAGTCTGCAATTTTTCGGGGGGTGTAACATTGTTTTTGGTGACAAATGGAAGAAAATTTCCTGATTTTGTTGAGCAAAAAAACAGAAATTTTTGAAGATTGGGGGGGTGTCGCACCCCCGACTACCCCCCGGTCGCGCCACCCCTGACCATGAACATCTACTCTAAATTCAAAAAAATCAAATTAATTGAAATCGATGTCGTAGACTAGTATCAATAAAATCTTTATTGATAAACAGATCTTGAACTAAACTTACGTATGTTATCAATAAAGATTCTAGATAAAAAATTTTTTTGAACTAGAACATAGTAAATCAATATTATCTCTATTCACTAATAGTTTGATTCCTAAGCATAATTTCTCGCTGGTAAAAACCAATGATTTTATAAGAAGATCTAATTGAAATGTATTTGTTGTGCTTGAAGTGAATTTTATTTTACTTTTTCAATTAAACAATAAAATTATGTATACAGACAAAAAAAAAATACAAAATTAATTTCAATGTTATGCAAGGAAAATTTATAAAAGCTGTTAGAGATTATACAATAAAAAGAAAATAACGTATATTGTCATTGATAAAAATATGTTTAACTTTTAAGAAATCGAACACCAAGATATGCGAAAATACGACAAAAAATAATGTAACCTAATAGTACACCTATACAACCACCTATAGTAATATAATCATATCCACGTTCTATAATAAAAAGTTCACCAGTTTCAATACACGAAGCATTTGTTCGATCAGCATCTGTACATGTTAATGTAAGACCTTGTAATTCATTTAAAGCCAGACCAACAAATGTATATTTAACATATGATAATGCATCAAGCCAAGCAAAATATTTAGGTAAACGTGATGGTGCTAAAAAGAAGCCGCCAAACAAACGTGAAACTTCAAGTGCTAATGGTAGTACAGTAACACTCATATCTGTTGTTTTACAAATAGCAGAAATTAACAATGCTAATGATGTTGCTGCTAATGAACATAGTAACATAAAAAATGTGAATAGAAAAAATTTGCCAGCAGTTAGTTGAAAACCAATCAGAAAATACAAAGCACATGACTATAAAACATAACAAAACTTTACATAAATTAATTCATAATTAAAAATTTTATACTTACAAATATAATTGGTACTGGTATTTGAATAAGTGTTTCAGCAATAATTTTTGCCATAAAATAAGCACTAGCATAATATGTACCAGATGCTCGTTCACGTAATGTTAATGCACGTTCAACAGGAAATGAATTAATAACCATTAAAGCACCAAAAATACCTTGATTAACAGCACAAAAAAATAATGCAGGTTCACGACGTACAATACTTTTTTGTGTATTACCAATCCTTAAATAAACAGTACCAATTAAAATAGCCATGATAATTGTTTGTACAAGTGATGTAATAATAATTTGTGATTGACGAAATTGTTCTTGAAATGTACGTCGTAGAAGAATTTGTACTTGTTTCAACCATGTTGGATTATGTAGTAAACTAGACATTTGAGCAAGACGTTTATTTTCACCCATACTAAGATCAATACTAAGTGGTGGTTGTACTTTAATAATTGCTTCATCAATAGCAGCTTGTTGTTCAAGTGATATTGTAGGTGTACCAAGTACTGGATTATGTCGTGGTGGTGTTATAACATCTAAAAGATGATCAGCTGGATTTGTATGTATAGGACATGGAAATCCGGCTGTACGATAAACATCCTAATTGAGAGAATAAAAAAGATAAAGGAATTTTTTTTTTTAAATCTTTATATGAAAAAATTTATTTAATTAATATGTTTACCATTGCTTGTCTTCTCGGACCTTGATAGAGAACATGACCTGCTTTAAGTAAAATTAATGAATCAAATAAATTAAAGATTTTTGCTTGTGGTTGATGAATTGAACAAACAATTGTTACAGATTTTGCTTGTGATTTACCATGTGCAAGTGCATGAAATGTACGAAGTAAATCAAGTGCTGTAACTGAATCTAAACCAGATGTTGGTTCATCAAGAAATAATAATTGCGGACGATTAAGTAATTGCATACCAACACATACACGTTTGCGTTCACCACCTGATATACCTTTTTTTAATGGTGTACCCACAATAACATTATGTACATGTGATAGACCTAAATCAGCCAAAACATCCTTGACACGTTCTTTTCGTTCTGGATCTGTAAATGTTCGTGGTAAACGAAGTTGTGCTGTATACATTAAGGTTTCTTCAACAGTTAAAGATCCATTTAATAAATCAGATTGCATAACATAACCAGCTATACGTTTTAATTCTGCATTATCATATGGTGCACCATTTAAACGCATTTCACCTAAAACAATTGTATTAACATCCAAACGGCAAGCTAATGTATTTAAAAGTGTCGATTTACCAGAACCCGATGGACCTATACATAATGATTGTATTTAAAATATGATTAGTACATAAAAGAAATAAAAACTTACCCATCACAGCCCATAATCCACCTGCAATAGCTCCACTAATATTATTGAGTAAACATTTTCTTTGTGGTACAAACTTTTTATACGGTTTTATACGTTGAAAAAATTCTTTTTGTTTATTTGGTCGAACTTGAACAGTTATATTTTCCCAAACAAGTATTGTACTAACACGATCCGACATTGGATCAAGTATTGATAATTGTCTTTCAAATGGTTTTAAAGTACTAGATTGACGATGTTGCTGTTCAGTAAAACTAGCTGAAGAAAATGATGATGGTAGTTCATTTGAATTTCCTGGCACTGACAAATTTGTAGTATAATCATTTGTAGATTCTTCTTCGTTTAAAGTTGGTAAATGAGTATCATCATAATGTCGTGTAAAAGAACCATGTTCGGTATCGCCATAATTATTTACTGATGATTTACGTGGTGATTCAACACCTTTTGATTCCATTTAAATATATTTGTAAATTAAGATGAATAATAATATAAACTAGAAGAATAAATAGATTGATTATATGTGAAGATAGATCTTAGTAAATAAATATAAAATATTCTCATTTTTCTCTATATCTTATTCTATTTGTTAAAATATTTTATTTTCATATATTTCAAATAATATATATGTTAATAAATTACAAAAGAAAATAAATAGTATATATTCATTATGAGAAATATACAAGTTAAAAAGTCCACTTATTTATTGTACTAACCTTTATTGAAAATAAAATATCATATTTTTGTATCGTATTATACCTGCTGTCTGAGAGACAAGGTTTTTTTTGTGTATGTTTTCGAAGAGGCTCTTCAGGTAACTTGACGCTTTATTACTTGATTCAATGAAGCATGAAAAAGTTAGTTGTTTATATCACGTATATTCGATGTTTACTCTCTAACTGTAGATATTTTTTTCTCTCTCATCGAGTGATAATGAAGTATTATTATTTGCTATATTTATTCACATAAATTCATATCTATTTCGTATTATACACATGAAATTTTTTTTTCTTTTTCTTTCTACTAATGAGCACAAAATCTATTCGACCAAAGCATTTATTTCATCAAAAATAGTTTACATCGTAGAAGTCTAGTTTTCTATTTAATTTATGATTCTGTTTTACAGCAGGTAATGATCAACAACGCATAGGCTTTATGATGTAATATATTTCAATATAAAAATAGGCTTATTAATGGTATCAATTCGTGTATACATATATAGAAATTATTTTATTTCAATTAAATCATAGCCAAGAAAATATTAATACAATAAAAAAATTCTTTTTTTCGTGAATTGCAGATGTTACCTAGAAAGTCATTTAAAAAAATCTTAAATTGAGTACTTTTATCATACGAAAACTAAATGAACTCAAGAAAGAAGAGAGTTGTAACTATGTATTCATAGGAACAAAACTATAAACTTATCTACAATTTCAAAGACATTTTAAAATATAAAAATTTCTTCCGAAAGTTATTTCAAATTCTAACCTTAATATAAACTTTAATAAATTAGATCTTTTACTCTTACTTTACCAATTATTAAAATATTCGATGCACTATAAATGAATTGTTTTTAAAAGTGGATATTCTATGGTGTTGATTTTTTTCAAGTTCAAAATTACTAAAGAAATTGTTTTATGATTTATTCTTGAAACTACATTTGTATTGAAATCAAGGATAATAATTTATAGCAGGATTTATAAACTTTGTCTTTGTGAATAAAAAGTTAGAATAGGTTTTTTTATTCGCAGATAAAATCAGTTCATTTAGTTCAAACAAATGGAAATATTGTATAAAATTGTTTTCAATCAAATTATATGTTCGATCTTATTTACTTGGGTGTTTACATTTAACTTAATAAATTTAATGTGACTATTCAGGAAGAGTGGCACATATGTATCAAATAATCATGAAAATATTTTATACTTTTTCAAATAGACAAAGTAAATGTTTCGTTTCGTTTACATTATATTCGGCTCAAACAATATCAATTGTCTCGATCTATACTTTTATCGAATGTGTAGCAACTAGTCAATGTGGTTATTTGTAGAGGTCAACAAGCATATATTTGAATAGAATGTCCGCGTGATATGAACGTTCTGATCATATGACTACTGATGACATCATAGCTGATCAGAGAATAAGAGGAGGGGATATAATATTGGGACGTCTTTAATGTAGCTGGGCTGTTCAATCGGGGTTTGATGCCCGTTTTTTTTCTTTTTCTCGTTCTCTCGATAAGCGGTCAACTGTCTCCTTATTCTTTCTTTTTCTTGCAATCGAGACTCGCCCTAGTCATACCATCGTCGGTCTTACATTCGGTCATTTCTTTTTTTGTGTGTTTGTGTACGTGCACGCAGTAATATTCAAACCGTGTTTGATCGGTCGACTAACAAAACATTGTTCAAAAACTGAGTAGCACAAACACAGATATAATATTAGCCCGTATTTTAATGTAAGTCTCTTTTTTTATTTTTGAACAATATTTTCTAGAATTATTTAATCGAAATTGAATTAACAATTTAGGTTATGTCGCGGGGAAAAATTGAATGTAATAATAAATTTTTCTTGTTCTATATTCAATTTAGATGAAACATTTTCTAGAAAAACGAATCGTTTGATAATGAAATAATATTTTAATTAAGAAATCGATTCGAAATTATTCGATAGAAAATATTCAATGAAAATATCCTTTTATTCTTTTTGGAGCTTACTAAGGTCACATGATGGTAATATATGCGTACGTCTATATATATATATATATATATATATATATATATATACATATATATTCTATACATCCATGTGGATTGTTTGTGTTCGAGTAGAAGGAAGAAAAAGTATTCATTTTTCTTGTTCTGTTTTACTACTATCGTTCAATAACGACATATTTCTCTTTCACTCTCACGATTGTTTTAAATATTTCGTGATTAGGATGACTAATTTTACCTGTATATTTTAGATGGTATCTACAACAGCACCAAAATTTGGCGTTCGATTTCCAACACGTAAAGAAAGAACAGTCAAACGAGTTACTAAATGTGAAACACGAGAAATTCAAAAACGTATATATAAAAAAAAAAGAAAACAAAAATTTTCATCAAAATAAACTAAATAAAAAATAAAATCTGTTTGTTTTTCTCTATTTATTTAAGGTCTTGAACCACCAAAACCAGCTCGTGTTCGTCCACCTCCTAAACCAAAAGCACCTAAAAAACAACCACCACCAGCTACACTTTGTAAACCACCTAAACCTCCTCGTATATCTGCTACTCGTTCTCATGAACGACAACCATCATCAACATCACAAACAACAACAAAAACAACAACAACAACAGCAACAACAACACCATCATCAAAATCAACTAAACAAGCAACATCTTCTCTTGCTACAGGACGTACTTTACAAGCACCTGATTTAGAAAAATTAGCACGTCTTAGTTGTTCACGTGAATTTAGTCTTTTTCATAAATTTATTAAACCCGAATTAGCAAGATCATATGAAAATCAATTAGCATTTTTACAAACAAAATTACAACATTTAAAAAATGAATTTGTTAATAAACAAGCTGAACATTTAAATTTTGAACAAATTCGAGATTATTATAATCAAGCTGTACAAGAAAATGTACGACGTCATATTAAACCAGATGAATATTTAACATTAGTTGATAAACTTAAACAAGATTCTAAACAAGTAAAATTATTATTTTCTTTTTTTTTTAAATAAACAAAAAAAAGAAATTTTTTATTTTAGGCTATTGATAAATGGCTTCGAAAAAAAGACTATAAACCACAACGACAAATAACTGAATTTTTACAAAGACGTCAAGCACGTATTCGTGACCGAATTAAAGAAACACTGGAAGAAGCAAAAAAACAACAACAATCAACTAAAGAAGGAGAAACTGAAATTGATACAGCAGAAAGTACTATTACAGTAACACCATCAATAACAACAACAATAACAACAACAACAACAGCAACAGCAACAACAACAGCAACAACAATAGAAGAAGATGACGAAATAATGATTATCGATTAGCATAAAATGCGATGAATATAATTTGTACAAATATTATTTCACATTGACTCACTTAACAAACATTATAAATATCTATTTCGATTTTTCTTTTTTCATTATAAAGATTTAGTTGTCTTTGTTTTTTGTTTTGTTTTGCTGTACGTATTTATAAAAATCACAGTTGAAGAAATCAAAAAAAAAAAGAAGCCAAATTTGTATAAAATATACCTATCTAAATAACAGGAGAACATTCCGTACGAATAGATAAAATAATGGGTATTTTTTTTGTTGTTGTTGTTGCTGAGATCAGTGATCTTATAGAAATATTATGTATGACTTTTTTCAAGTCTATTTACATATCGTGAGGTATTGCTAAATAATGTGTATCCCAGAATACATTGCGTCTAAATCTTGACATCTTTTTCTCTTATGTCAATTATTTCACTGCTCTCTACTGATGCTTATTAATTTGTGTAAAGCTTTTGCACATTAAAACTAATACCAATAGATAGAGAATTTTGTGCGCAATGCTTCTACGAATTTTTCACAGTTTCCAAAGTTAGTATTGATGAGAAAAACTATCGGTATTTTTGAGTCCATTTTGGATAATCATGTTTTCAAAAGTCAAACTTACTCTATGAAAGATTTATTATTTTATTGTCGGATGTAGAATTTAATTTTGAACAAAACAATATAAATATTAAATAGAACTATGAAAAGATTTATTTTGTTTCAAATTAGAAAACAACAATGGGATAGATTTACCAGAAACAAGACTTTTTCTGATATTTTCACGTGTTTTATTTTTACTTTTAAAATATTTCTCTCTAAAATTCTTAAACATATTGTCCAAAGATACAGAATGTTAAGAAGAATTTTGTGAGATGGTTGAAAATTTACCGAGACCTTTATTTAAAAATTTCTCATCAGGTTTTTTTTGTTTTCTTGACTATCACAATTGGACGATTAAGTATTCCACTGATAAGAGAAGGCTGTATGAGAGACAAAGTCAATAGTTTTGTAGATCTTTAAATTCTTTATCTTTCGGTATAAAAGAGTATTCTTTTTATGATTAAGAAATTCATAGAAAAATGCACTAAGATTTAATGTAATTTCTTCTGTGACATCCATTATATATTGAACTAAAATACTATAATTTTCTAAGAATATGAAATTTCATCAATATGATTAAAGGATAGTATTCTCATCGGATTTTATTTTCATTGTCATTTTTGAAGCGATTATTAATGAAAATGAGAATAATGCACTGACTAAGAATAGATTAATTTTTAGAGTCTCAAATGAAGTCTGTTGAGAGCACATGTCATTTATATTCAATATAAGACTTGATGTGAATTTTTGTTATATTTACGTGTAAGCTTTAAGACATATTCGAGAAAATTTTAGGATCTTTTCTGTGAACGGCTATTTATCTTCTGTCTAATACGAGAGAAATCTTGAACATTCGTTATTTAAACTTTTCATGGGAATATTATAGTATATTCTAGAACATTTTCTTTGAAAAGTTTCATGCTTTTATTATATACAGAATGAAAATATTGTTGACAAGAATTTCAAATTTTTGTACAACATTCTAGAACTTATTCATGTGTGAAATCACATATGACCTCAAAATAAATTCTAGAAAGTTTTACAGACAGAACCATATAAGTGCATCTAACCATTAATTAGTTGATAATCCAGTGCTTAATTTCAAGAGATTACGTATCAATGTTAATAAATTATTGTATGCAAAAATAATTATAAAACATATGTAGCATTTTTTTTGCTACTATAGAATTCAAGGATTTATACTACTACTGAAGAAAATAAAAAAATCAGTATACAGGATAATGTAGCTTTATTGTATAATCTTATTTTAAATAGCAAGCAAATATATGAACAATACTTGTTTTTTTTTGCAGTATTAGAAAATATTCTTTTATGTTCAAGTTTAATGTTTAAGAAATCGTACACCAATAAAAGCCCAAGTACGACAAAAAATAATAAAAGCTAATAAAACACCGATACAACCACCAATAGAAATATAATTATATCCACGCTCTTGTATTAACTCTTCACCAGTACGTATACAATGTGCTGTTATATTATATGTTGCATTTACAATTGTTGTTTTTACTCCCTCACAAGTAAAATTCAAACCATGTAATTCGTTTAAAGCACTACCAACAAATGTATATTTTATATAAGATAAAGCATCAATCCAAGATAAATATTTTGGTACACGTGATGGTGCTATAAAGAAACCACCAAATAGACGTGTTACTTCCAGTACCATTGGTAAAACTGTAACACTTAATGATGTTGTTCGACATAAAGCAGAGATCATTAATGCCAATGATGTTGATGTTATTGAACAAAGAATTATGAATAACATAAAAAGAAAAAATTTGCCAGCTAATAGTTGTAAACCAATTAGAAAATAAACAACACATGTCTATAAAACAGACAAAAAACATATAAATTGAATTATTTTATATTAAGAAATAGAATGAAACAAACGAGACAAAAATCATCTTAATTTTCTGAAATACTAAATAATCATTTATGGATTATATTTTATATTTAAACAATAGACATTTTTCTCAGACATAAAATCAAGAGAGAAAAAAAAAGTGCAACTTTCTCACGTCATTGCCCTCCAAGGACAAAGATTTTTCTAATAAAAGTTTAAAACTCTGATGAATAAGCCTAAATGAATAGAAAAAAAATGTCACTATTAACAAATTACAAATATCAAAATAAAGAAGCATATAATTACTTCTCTGATATATGCAGCATATGAAATAGAATTTCTTGGCAAAACTGAAATTTTTAGATCCAAAGATTTTCACGAAGTTATATCGATATTAATCCTGATGGAAAAGTAGAACTAAGAAACAGCATTTTGAGAATGTGGCGTGAGATGAAGTGTGGATGTTTCATATATATCTGGTATAGTCTATTTCTATAGATAAACAAATAGCCGTTAGAAATTTAGTAATACACTTTTTTTTTGTATGGCAAAACATGTCCTATCTTTGGAACTTAGAACGCAAACGTTTAATCTTATATTAACAATTCAAACTATGAAAATGCTTTTCTCATTTATTTCGAAATTCCTTATTTTAATAATATACGTACAAATAAAATTGGTATTGGTAATTGAACCAATGTATCGGACAGAATTTTTGCTATAAAATAAGCACTAGCATAATATGTACCAGATGCTCGTTCACGTAATGTTAATGTTCGTTCAACAGGAAATGAATTAATAACTGTTAATGCACCAAAAACACCTTGATTGATAGCACAAAAGAATATAACTGGTTCACGACGTACAATACTTTTTTGTGTAGTGCCAATTTTTAAAAAAACAGTACCAATTAAAACAGCCATAATAACTGTTTGTAAAATTGAAGTAATAACAATATGTATTTTTCGAAGTTGTTCTCGTAAATTACGACGAAAAAGTATTTGTACTTGTTTCAACCATGTTGGATTAGGTGGTAAATTAGCCATTAGTGCAAGACGTTTATTTACACCCATATTAAGATCAATATCAAATGGTGGTTGTGCTTTTATAAGTGCTTCATCTACAGCTGCTTGTTGTTCAAGTGATAATGGAGGTTCATCAGCATTTGTTTGATCAGTTTTTGGTGGTGTTATAACATCTAAAAGATGATCAGCTGGATTTGTAAATAATGGACAAGGAAAACCAGCAGCACGAAATACTTCCTAGAATATATATGAAAATTATATTAATTCATAAAAATGAATACTGAATAGAATTTTTTTTTTACTGTTGATTGTTTTCTTGAACCTTGATACATAATATGACCTGCTTTAAGTAAAATAATTGAATCAAATAAATTAAAGATTTTTGCTTGTGGTTGATGAATTGAACAAACAATTGTTATAGCTTTTGCTTGTGATTTACCATGTGCAAGCGCATGAAGTGTATACAATAAATCAAGTGCTGTAACTGAATCTAAACCAGTTGTTGGTTCATCAAGAAATAATAATTGTGGACGATTAAGTAATTGCATAGCAACACATAATCGTTTACGTTCACTACCCGATATACCTCGTTTTGATTGAATACCAACAATATCATGTCGTGCATGTGTTAAACCTAAATCATCAAGAACTTCATTAACACGTTCTTGTCGTTGTAAATTTAAAAATGTTCGTGGTAAACGTAGTTCAGCTGTAAACATTAAAGTTTCTTCAATAGTTAAATATCCACTCAATAAATCATCTTGCATAACATAACCAGCTATACGTTTTAATTCGGCATTATCATATGGTGCACCATTTAAACGCATTTCACCTTCAACAATTGTATTAACATCCAAACGACAAGCTAATGTATTTAAAAGTGTTGATTTACCAGAACCCGATGGACCTATACATAATGATTGTATTGAAAATATGATTAGTATATAAAAGAAACAAAAACTTACCCATCACAGCCCATAATCCACCAGTAATAGCTCCGCTTACATTATGTAATAAACGTTTAGTTTTTGGCTGAGCATCTTTTGATGTTAAACGTCGGAAAAATTGCATTTTATCATCTTGTCGTGACGAAACAATTAGATTTTGCCAAACAAGAATTGTACTAACACGATCTGACATTGGATCAAGTATAGATAATAGCCGTTCATTTGGTCCTATACCAGTTGATCGACGATGTTGTTGATGACTATGATTTGACGAATGAGCTGATGGAGGTGATACAAAAGTAATTTCATTTTTATCTCCATCAGGTTGTTTTTCATAAATAACACGCATTGATCCAGTCGATGCCGATGATGTACGTGATAAATGGCTTTTATCTCCTCTTTCTCCTCCATGAATAGTTGACAATTGAGAATCATTTTGACTTTTTACATAACTTTGATTTACTTCACCACCATTATTAGTAATATCTATCATCGGTGCATTACCATTCATTTTCTTGTAGTTGAAAGCTCTATTAACATAATGAAACAAATAGATGTTTTTTGTTTTTCTTTTTTTTTTATGTTCTGTAATTGAAAATAATGTTATATTAGTTATTTGAAGTATATGTATCACTAATAATATATCTGTTTCAGAGATATTCTTTAAACAAAAATGAAATCTCAAAACAAAAACCTCAAGAATATTTGGAAAAAAAAATGCTTCTTTTTTTCATAATTTTCTTTGTCATCATCAAAATATGATGAGTCTTTCAATGTAGAGTAAAAATAAATATTTGAAATACAAGATTGCTAACCTTCGTTTCAAGGTTTTTGTATATAAGCGCTTATTAAACACCTATGTTTGCTTTCCTACTCAATGCACTAATTAAACAACGTTTTCATGTCCAATTACGACGCATAAATTATCGATTTTTATCATATATCATTCAAAAACATGCGTTTGTTATTCGCCTTATACATACATACACTCGTTAAGTATCTTCTAGGCGTCTCAAAACGTGCATTACGCTTTTTCTTTCATTTCATCACATTATTTTGTTTTGATGTTATGATCATTAAAATGATGATGAATAATTGCTCTTAATCAAGCTTGCTCTCAAATCGATAACATACGATAAATAAGTCCGGTTTTATATCTAGTTCGAAAATATATTTATAGCATGTCGTATGATCAATACTATAGACATATACGTATATGAGTGAAAAGTATAGCCATTGTACTGTGGAATTCCGAAAAGGAAAATGCTTATAAGTTGAATTCTATTCAATTGATTTCGATAATTTGTTTTTTGTGCTTTACTGGCCTAAAGATGGTCATTCACGCTGGAGAAAAATCAAGTCTTCATATATTTTAGCTGCCAAGAAATCATAGCAACAACATTAGATGCGTAACTTCTAACGTCACTTGACGGAAAAAACCAATGTCTTTTTTGTTCGATTGCGAGTTTTTTTTAATTATTTTTGCAGCTGCAATTATAGAACTTGTCAAGAGCTTTTAGAATATATGTCGTCAGTTTTAGCTTTAGACGAAATTTTATGAATGAAAACCTATTGATAACAGACGTTAAGACACTTTTCATTTTATTGTAGAGCGATATTAGAAATCATTAGCATGTCGTTTGAAGAAACTTCATTTGAATAAGTTTGATTTGATATCAAGAAGAAATAGGAGGAAAATAATTTTGTGAAATACAAGAAGTTTGTTTTATTAAATCCATTAATATAAAAACTTCACACAAAATTAAAATAATGTCCATGCTGTATGTAGAACAATTTTTTAAATTTTATTCTTTTTTCAGTTCATATGGTAGAGTAATATACCAAAAACTCAAATGAAAATTTTTTTCTATCCGAGAGAAAGTTGAATTTTACTAATAAAGTGTGAAGCGACATTTTTTTGAAGTAATTATACACGCAAACTGATTGATATATAAAAACAGCATACAGAAATTGGTTTTGTATCGAGAGTTGTTTTGCAATGTCATCATTTTCGTACCTCTACTACAGCGAAACAAAAGTATTTACCTTTAACTTGGCGAGACGTTCAATAAGAGAATGCACTTATCAGTCGTTATCGCCTAAGCGTCGTATAAATTTCATCAAAATAAATGACATGTATATGTTGATTCGAACGCCGATATAGGAAACTGTTGGAATAATATAAACTATTCATTATATATGGATATTTAAAAAAAAGTTTATATAATTTATTATTCTACAAATCCTAGGATTCCATATTTTCAATAAAGAAAAGAAAAACTAAATTCTAATTTACAAATCTTTTTCATCTTTTTTTTTCCATTGTTCATATGCTTTTGTAAATACGTCAAATTCACGTTTTTCAAACATAGCAAAAATAACTGTATTTAAATTTTGTGCTTGTGATAATTCTCGAGCAACTGTTGATATTGCTATTGGTGCTGCATCATTTAATGGATAACCATATATACCCGTACTAATTGATGCTAAAGCAAGTGCAGTAACTGTTTTTAATTTATCAGCTTCCTGTATAACATTTCTATATGTTGCTTCAAGAAGTCGTCGAGATTCATCACGATTTGTCGAAGAATAAACTGGACCAGCAACATGTAAAATATAATCAAAACCCGTTTTATATCCTTTTGTAACAATGACTTGTGCTGTTTGAGTTTTATGTGGTACAAGTTGTTTTAATTCAGCTAATAATTGAGAACCAGCTGCTGCATGTATAGCTCCATCAAGACCTCCACCTATTTTTATAAAGCAACAAAATAAGATATTTATATAATTTATTTCCTACCTCCTCTCATATATACATTAGCTGCATTAACAATAGCTGTTACATTCGGATGAAATTTTTTAATATCAAGTAAACTAGAATGAATAATTTGCATTTGCCATTTTTGAATCGTAGATGAAACTCCAATCATTATTATTAATATATTAAAGAATATAACTATATTCATATCACAAATATATTAAATGAAAGAAATCAAATACAATAAGTAATATAATAAAAATGAAAAAAAAAAGTTTTAAAGTATCATTGATTTGCTTTCTCGTGTTTAATTATGTCTGATTTAGAAAAAAAATACTCATAGAAAATAAAAGTAAGAAAAAATAAATAAATAAAATATCAATGATTTTGAGTTTTAGCAATATAAAGAGTAAGTACTGTGTTTTCATTCGCTCTTGGATGTGAATCACCAAATTTATAATTATCATCAAGATGATCTCGATTAATAAACCAATATTGTTGCTGAGAAGGAACTTGTGTATCACGTGTGACCTAAAAAAAAGAAAGAATTTCTTAGTTAAAGAGTTTTTAATATTATGTTTTGTTTATTTTTACTATTTGTTTAAGATCTTTTATAGTTGTTTCTGGAAGAATAGCCACATCAAATTGTTCATCAGTACAAGAATCAATTAAAAAACTTTCGATTGTTAACTTCAATCTAAAGATATATTAAATATAATTATTAAAATAAAATAGTTGTTTTTCATTAGATATGATTGAATATAAGAAAGATAGTTAATAGGAAATCTTATTTCTTTTAAATATAAATTTCGATTCGAAAGATCAATTCGATGTTTGAAAATTATCCACAAAATATTTACTAATTAAAATAGAAACAAAAGCTGTAGAAACGAAGTATTTTTGAGTTTTTTTTTTCCTTAACAATAACAGCTAGAACAAATCAGAGAAAATATTTGATTAGTTGAAATAATTTTCTATCAGGAGAAATACTTGTCAAATTACTATTAATGGATTTGGATGAAAGATCTCTGGAAACCCAAAACTACTTTTCTGGATTCGACCAAAAACGTTTTGAAAACAAGGTCATTTGATAGAGAATAACATTTCTGAACAAAATAAGATCTTTGCGAGCTCTATACAATCTCTTTAAAGCGTATGTCAATCATTATGTGATAAACCTAAAAAGCTGTTTTCTGTTATTTTTTTATGAAAATTTATATAAATTTTCTGTATTTTACACACTGAGATCTTTCGTTGAAGATAGGTCGTAGAGAGTTCAGGGACGTCTTATTGTATTTAGAAATGTTATTCTCTATTAGATGAACTTGTTTGCAAAATGTTTTTGATACAGTTCAGAAAAGTGGCTCCTTCTGATAGGAAATTGTGTCAGACAATCAAATCTTTTTTCCGATTTGTTCTAACTATTACTGTTGAGGAAAAAAGTTAAAAATTCTTTGTTTTTAAACTTTTAATCTTTACTTTACGATCAAGTAAAGATAATGAGAAGTAGATTTCTTGTCAATCAAGGAAACAAACTTTAAAAAAACAAGTTTCAGTTTAGTTTTACACGATCAACTATCACAAAAATATAACGTTTAAAAACATAAACACTGTTTTTTCGTAATACATTTTGTTTACTCGAATCGTGATACTATGAGGAGATCAGTAATATTTTTCTCACTCTGTATTATATAATATAGAATTTGTTTGGTCAGAAATACATTGTGGGATAATTCTCTTGAAAAATTTAACAATAGAATAATTAATAGCAAGATCTTCAATTCAATGAAGAATTTTGCAAACATTTATTCAATAAATTTATTGTATTGACTAATAAATAATTTGTAAAAAAAATAAACATTGAATTAGACTAATGATCAAGAATCATAGTCTGTTTTTAATTTTATTATGACGATATATGAATCCAAAACGAAATAGGATCAAATTATAAAAATAAGACTTCTCTAAATATGTGTATCTATTCTCTCAAAAAAAAAAAAAAATTCTATTATTTATATTTACTGTATTGGTTTTACAGGAGGTTTCGGTGGTTCTCGTGGTGGTGCATTCCCGTATTCATTAATCATATCAAGAGCAAAACGAATTGGAATCTTTTGAGAAGCAAGCTGACGAGCAATTCGGGCAGCTTCATCTCCATTGCTATTATTCAATGCTTGAATTAATCGATTCACATTTTCATTAGGAATAGGTTCAGGTGGATCTATGTCCATGTCAGTAGTAGTATGTTCTAGTGACATGAAGAATTAAATTTTGTTTTTTCAAATAAAAATTTATTTACGTGTCAAATAATTTCGCATGTGTTTTAACAATTCTGTACATTGTTTTGTTGTATCAATTATAACCAATGTTTCGTCTTCAGAATTCTTACGAATACATTCCACGCTGCCGGGAGATGATGAGTCTGATACATAAGAACAATTTTTTAAACGATATTGGCCAATAATCTATAGGAAAAACTATGAAAATAAAATTTCATTGTCAAAATTAATATACTTCATTGTCAGGTGGAACTTGAAGAAAAAGTTGTGGATCGGATTGATCAGTTGTCAGTCGCAACTTCACATTGGCATAACTACGAATATCATTAGGGTTTCTGTCATTTTTAATTTTAATATGAGCTGCACATCCAGTACTATAGTATATAAATAGAAAAGAGATTGTAAAAAAATTTCTTCGAAGTGAACTAAGAAAAAAAATTCCGTGCTTACAGCGACATGGAATATATCTAGAAAAGACAAATACATATACAAAATTTTTCAGGAAAACTAAAAAAATAAAACTATGCTATAATAAAAACAATTCTAATCTTTCAAGATATGACTACTACAGTTGTTCGAGTTTGCATTGATTATTGAAAATTTTCTATAGCTTCTTCATGTTCTTTCATGATTCTCATTAGATACTGATTATGATAAGAAAATCTTATAAATTCATAAATCAGTCGGTTTTCTACATGTATTTTTTCTAATTATAGAAAACTACCTGATCATGATTTAGATCTTTCATATTTTCAACGCAGAGGATTCATCAATAAGTAAACTTTATAATTAAAGTTCACTTAGACATCAATAGAATGAGTCGATGATGATAATTTATCAGAAAGTATTTAATGATGGTAAAAAATCTACACATAATGGTAGTGTGAGAATAAGTTGGAAACTTTAATCATTGAAAGTTGGACGTTAACTATCATTTTAATGGTTTGTTTCTAATAATACATTTCATCAATAAAATATTTGAATTGAACTATTCATTAATATATTATATCTAGAACAACGATGTATTTATCATATTAATTGTTATTTGTTTTTGTATGAACAAATTGATATAAATTTACAAAAGAAGAATTCCTATGAAACAAATAAATGAATAAAACTACACAAATGATTTTTGTTCTTAAATCTTAATGCAAATGAGACATTTGAGAAATGTACATGATTAATGTATCACCAGATCGAATAGGATTGATTGGTGATCGTTGTTGATTTTGATTTGAAACTATTGATACTGAAGATCCGAATACATATTCATTAGAAATTGGATATCGATCAAAAGCAAACCAATATTGATTAGCACAATTAATACCTGTTTCTTTTTCTATCTAAATTATCAAATGAAATTTCAATTAAAAAATAAAATACTTTTTTCATCATAACAAACCTGTTGTTTTAATGATTGAAGTGTTGTACCAGAACGAACAGTAATAGGCGCTATTATAGGATCATCCTTTGTTGAACATTCAATATGAAGTGTTAATCTAAAAATTTCGATAAAATAAAATAAAAGAAAATAAGTATAAAAAACTAACTGAATAATAGAATCTGAAGATTCTACAATAGTATCATTTGATTTTGATTGAGTTATTTTCATATCTTGATTATCATTTTTATTAAGTAGATTAAATTGAACATCGACTTGCGATTTTGCTAATTGTCGTGTAATACATTCAGCATTATTTAAAGAACCTGTAGTAATCGATCTAAGAAGATCATCAATCATCGTTTCTAATTGACCTATAATTTCAAAATAATTATAGTCTATCAATTATCAAGAAATCAATATGAATAATTATTAATTAGTCTTATAATTGTACATAAAATCTATAATATATATTAATAGTTAAAATAAATATTCTCTAATCAATTCTGATAATTTCTAACTGAACAATAGAATAATTAAATAAAAATAACTCATTGAAAGAAAAAAAAAACAAAAGATGAGGAAGAATTTCTAAGACATCTCTGTGGGAAGTTCAAATTTCTATCGCTATACTTCAGCACTTCTCTTAGATCGTATTTCACAAAACATTACAACATATTGTAATTAGAAAATCAGATTGAAATAAGTTAAATCATTTATTAGTAATAAATTTGAGTGGAGCAAAAAAAGAATTTTTTCTTGGAAAATCATAACTCACTGCAATCAATTGACAACGAAACCAAGACCTATTGTGTGAATTAGTCTTGAGATCTATCAGGTCCTAACAAACCATTAGATCATGCTAAGTCTTTTGTACATGCGCAAATGGTTGAAATACTACAATTCAATTAATAATAATGAATATTTCCTATATCCTTTGAAATGTGATTATTAATAGGTTTTATACCTTGATTTGATTGTGATGAAATTGAATGAGATAATGTTGTTCTTGTCTCTAAAATTAACAAAGGATAATTCATTAGAAAAACAAATCAAAAGCTTTAGAATTCTGAGATTTGTTAAGATAAAACAAACTATTAGGAGTTTTTACATTGAATATATTTAAATTTCTAAATCTATCTTTTGATAATATATAATACATTTTAACTGTATTAGAAGAGTATCGTTAATTGACAAGTTATTTTTTCATCCTTATTTCAACAATAAATATCAATAGAAATTTGAAAAGATTATCTTTATGTTGTTCATACTGCACTAATAATGAGAAAAACTTTTTCATAACAAGAAGAACAACAAAACTAAATAAAAAAGAAAAATCATCACTTGTTTATGGTCCCAAAAATTTTTTTGCTCATGTCAAATAGATTTCTAAAAAATATTACACATAACCAGCGGTATCCCGAGGTCATTCATCCTCCCGCTCTGAAGTAGAGCACTTCGGATTCAAAATTTTCGAATTCGGACCCGATAGGTTCTATTCTATACATTCTTCACACAAAATATACCGTGTTCCAGAGATGCTTGTAGATTATCAAATAAATGAAGTAATGACTCATTGTTTTTATTGTATATAATAACAATCGTAGCAGTTGATGAACGAATTGTTGCTACTCCATTTGTTGACGATTCAGAAAGCCATTTTAAATCATTCAATTTTTGTGTATATACATTCTAATAAAATTTAATCAATAAAATTCTATGAAATTAGTATGTAATCATGATAAACCTTTCCATTAGTCATAATATAAAGACATATGGATTGTCTTATTGTATCAAATAAAATACTAATTCTAACATTATCATCATAGGTAATCGTATTACTATTGTCTAATTGTTGAATTCGTACCATTTTAACTTCAAATTCACTTA